CGATTAAGTGCTACAGTTCAAATAGTAGGAGAAGAATTTCCTAAGGAATTTATCCGCAAGAGAATTTTGAAAAAAACAGGTGTTTCGATGGATACTGATTTTGGAGAGACGGAACAAATAAATCCAGAATTTACAAAAATAATAAAAATAATGAAACACGACGAGGAGTTTGCCAAACACATGGAACATTTAGAAAATCAGGAATATGGCTTAGATGGTATAAAAATATTGTCCGTGGAGATGATGAATATACCAGGTAAAAAGCTTGATATATTAGCAGAAAATTTAAGAGATTCATCTAACGTATGCATTTTCCATGCATATAGATACACACATTTAAAAATGAGTGAGGACACTATACGAAAGGCAATTAAACAAGGCAATTATATTAAAAATGAATGTTGGATAAATTCATTAACTGATTTTTACAGTGATACAATCATGAATGAAAGAACCCGCAACAGACTAACCAGAGATAAAATTATTGAAATCATAGGTAGGAATAATTTTATGGAAGTAGGAGCAACCATTCAAGAGATGGAAGCAGTATTTAGGCAGTTTAATATTCAAGTTAGAATTTTTAATTTCGTAAATGAACTTATTTACAAATATAACCCAAAAATAAGAAACCGTCATATTAAAACATTTTACGCTATGGTGAAAAATAACCACATTTATACATTAAACCACGATTTAAGCAAAATACAACAAAAACAAGTAATATCAAAACTACCCACTATAAAGGCACACACTGATTATTATATAAATGAAAGAGAGGAACCACCGCAATACAAAATGATTAAATGTATAGATGATATACTCAAAATAAAAACTGATGATAAAACAAGGGAAGTATATTTAGTGCCCGAAGATAATGATTTGGCAGAAATATTTTTACAGTTGATAAATATTGGATATGAGCCCAGAATTAAATACACAGGTATTATTGATGAAATTAGAGTCAAATTTAACACGATAACATATATCATAAAGACTCAAAATTCAATTAAATCATCCAGCGATGGTTGGATCGCAGCAAATAATGAAACTATGTACAACAATATGAATAAAGCAATGTTTAATTTTAATAAATCTTTATTTATTTTATCTCACAAATCTTTTTATAATGACATTGATATAAAAATATTAAACGAAACAAGGACTGTAGCACCTTCGGGATTATTATGGGATAAATTAATTTAATGCGTAAAACTGAAATCGATGAAAATAAGGCATTTACAAAGGGTTTCATAGATATTACTGAAATACCAGTTTTTAATCAGTTTGACAATTGGAAAGAATACAATGATGCAATTAATATTGATGAACTCCACGATCTAACATTATATTATATTGAAGTTAACTATCCGAATATACCAAATAAGTACAGTATGGAACGTATTAAACGTAAACATCTTTTGGAGGAAAGTTTAAAATTTAAATCAAAAGAAGAAGTTGAATTCATAATGACAAAAACGTTACTGGGGAATAAAGAGAGCTTAATGTTTAATAAAAAATATAATTTAGTTTATGGTAAGTTTTTAAAAAAGTTTATTAATCAATACAATATTAAAGTATTATATTATAAACAACCTTCGTTTATTCATAAAACAAACTATAAGGATATGGTTAATGAACTTTGGAAAACTACTATAGATGAAGATGATGATGATGATGATATACTAAGTAAAAAATTAATAGCAAATGTCAATTTTGGATTATTAGAGAAGGGAGAGGCTACCGCGCATCAAAGCATTTTGTTTAAGAGTATTGATGAAGCAATCCATTATCAAACAGAATACGGAGGCAAAATTCATAAGTTATCACAGATAGAAGGCAAAATTCATAGGTTATCACGTATAGGTACAGAAGACGAAGAGCGCGAGGATGAGTATGAAGAGTATACACGTGAACTAGATGAAAGAAATATAAAAGCATCATATTATATATTAAAATTAAGGGATAAAGCAGTATTAAGAAACGGCTATAGATATATTAAAGAACTACTCATGCAACATCATAATTTTAAAATGAACCAAGACATTCACAAATTAATAATCAACGATATTAATGTATATAGTGTGAAAACCGATGCTTTTGTAATTGATTCATACAATGTAGAGAAAGCAAAGCAATTATTAGAATTTCATAATGATATAGGAGGTTGGAAAGTTTCTGGGCGAGACAATGAAATTAATCTTCCTACTGTAAAATATGAAGTTGTTAAGAATGATCTAATAAAAATACCAGTTCATGAAAGTAAAACTATTGATATTAAAGATGAATACGACACTGATAACATTATAGAGATTGTTAAACAGAATAACCCTATTATGATCAGGGGCGAACTACCGGGCACAGGAAAATCATATATATGTCAAAAAATGGTTGATAAAAAATATAAGGTAATATTTATTTGTCCTACTAATAAATTATTACAGGCATTCGAAGGTGAAGCAATGACTATAAATAAGTTTTTTGGAATAAACTACGGCGATGCAAAATTAGAACCATTTGATTTTACAGAATTTGATGTAATCGTATTTGATGAAATTTATTTCAGTAATTTAAATATATATTGGAGAATAAAACAATTTGTAGAGCAGAATAAACACAACAAAATTATAATAGCAACGGGAGACACCAAGCAATTAAAACCAGTTCAAGAGATAACAAATACCCGAGACTATGAATTATATACTGATAATATTATAGATAACATTCTTGAATATAATATTTTGTTAAAAGAATGTAAGAGACTTAACACACAGGAAGATAAGGATAAACTAAGAAATCTTAAATTTGATATTTTTGAAAATAAATTACCTATTATGAAAGTTATTGAAAAATATTTCGAATATACAACTGACATAAGCAATTCTAACAACAACATAGCATTTTTAAATACAACTTGTAAAAATGTCTCAAATGAAATTAGAAAATTAGAAAATAGAAAAGATGAATACGAAGTAGGCGAATTTTTAACATGTAGGGAATATACTAAAACTAAAACATCAGTGTTTAATGTAAATTTCAAATATAAAATAGTTCATATCGGAAGCGATGGAATATTTACATTAAAGAATATCAAAACCGAAATTTTACAATCCGTAGAAGTTGCTAAAATAAGAAGCAATTTTATATTTGCATATTGCTCAACTTGTCATTCTGCCCAAGGCAGTAGCATTGATGATACCATAACAATGTTTGATTATAACCATTTTTTGGTAAAGAATTATCCAGAATGGATATGGACTGCAATTACAAGGTGTAGAGATTTAAACAAAGTTAAATTTTACAAATATACAAAAGATATTGATGATGTATTTAATCAAAAATGTATTATGAGTTATTTTGAAAGGAAAATATTAAATTACAAAGAACAGGACAGGAAAGCAAAAAGAACCATATCTAAAGAAGGTTATGTAAATACACAGTGGTTTTTAGACAATATAAATAATCAATGCAATTACTGCGGATGTGGTTTTACTATTGATATGAAAAATGGTAATATCATTACAAATCTAACAGCACAACGAAAAGATAATGAATTAACTCATACAATAGAAAATATCATTCCTTATTGTTGCCGTTGTAATTGTAGTTGTAAATGATAAATACCGTCAGAAATATTAATATTATTTTTAAAATGATGCATGAAAGAGATAAGATATATACACAATTTAATGGTTATCAATTGAATTATTATCCTGAACTTAAGTTATAAAATTCTATCTACCTAACCTTGCCCATAATATTTCTACAAAATTTATGATAAACATATTGTAAGATAATTTATCATAATTTTTGGAATAATATTTGTTGAAAAATTATGTTTTGAACATTTATTTTTTGAAAATATCATTTTTTGAAAATATTTTTTTGAAAATATTATTTTTTGAAAATATTATTTTTTTGAAAATATTATTTTTTGAAAATATCACTTTTTTGAACAATATTATTTTTGATTTTTTTTGAATGAGCTTAACCTTGCCCATGCATCCTACCATCAATAACCATATCATATGAACCACCCTATACTCCTATTTCCACTTAAGCATCCTAACAATGACAAGAATGATGGAATAGAAAATGAGAAAAATGTAACTTTTTTGATGGATTTTGAGGTTGAGACTGTTATGAAATGTTTTGAGTGGAAATATGCATAATGAACAAGGATGACGATTTGAATAATAAAAAATGGTTGAAAAATGCTGTTCTTGCGTAGGGTGGGGGTCACGCTCGGGTACCAAAAAAAGATGGGCAAGGCCTACTCTAACTCAATCAGGGTCTATTTTGAGACAAACCCATAAACAAGCGAAACAAAGATAAACAAAGTATCAAGCAGTGCTTAGATCCCTAGATCCCCCTGATCTTAATGGGGACGATGGAATGCCCTCTCGTTTCCCTCGAGGTCTAGGAGTGCAGTTGGGTTTCAGGGCCACCTTCCGCGCTACGAGCGGAATCCCCTCTTGACCTTTTGACCGTTTCAGTCGAGGCTCTTTTCCAGGTCCTGGCGCTACCAGTCTCTGTACGTGGTACCTTCCCCGTTGCCAGACAAGAGCATGGTGTAAAGAACGGGATTCCTAGAGAAGATTTGGATTTGACATGGCTTGTCGCTTTGCTTTTGGTTCCTTTTCGGACTCCGAAACGGGTAGCCTCCAAGAAAAGGCACGGCCATGTTCCCGTTTGGTGGTTTGGACAGCACGGTTTGGGTCCCATGGTGACTTCCCTTTGATGTTTGCAAAAGCATCACATGCAAGCGAACAGTGGACCCCAACAAACTAGGGCGACCTATATTGTGAAAAGGGCGGGACTGAAGACGAGCGACCGCTGGATTGATCTATCAGTTTGCAAATGCGCGGTCATGTTGGACGGATTCAGACACTGATCGAACTGATGGCAGCTTCAAATCCAAAGCCCCCCCATGTGCTGTTTCCTCCGTCTTTTTGCATTTCATTGGAGCTTTTTCCATGTTTTGGTCAGCCCTCATGCTCCAGGAACTGCGAGTGGAAGAGGAGAAGACCCAGCAGAAGACCTTGGCCCTGGAGGCGGAGGTAAGGCGACTCAAAGCCGAGCTTTGGACTGGAAGCTTTGGAAGCCGTGGCCTGAGCCCCAGCCGCTCGGAGGCCCCGATGGTTCAAGAGTCTAGCGTGAAGCCAAGAAGCCGTCTAGCGCCGGAATTCTTCAAGCCAAAGACGGGTCTAGCTGTTTAAACATATGGCGGCTTGGTCGCAGTTCGGGATTCCCGAATCGAGCAGTTTTTGGCAACAAACATGTCAACCATCCATGGCCTCGTTATACTATATGTTGTGTATATTTATGTAATTTTATGTAGATTTCAATAGAGAACCCAAAGGAGGTGGTTTAACCTGTGCTCAAACAATGGCTAAAACATGAGAAACGCATCTGGGTATGGCACCCTGTAGGCCAGCGAGGTGTGGAACGGCACGGAGTCCTCCAGTGGCAGCTCTCTCAGCTCCAGGCAAAGGAACACTTTTTTGTTTGAAAGGCCCAAGCAACTTGGCACAGCTGGAACTGTATTCAGCTTTCCCCCAATTGGTGCCTTGGAGGTGTTCCGGGGGTTGACTTCCCATTCGCTTTCTAAAATAACCAGCGGGCCAAAATCCCAAGCTACCAATGCAACCCACCAAGGGTACCTGAAGTCTGGATTTGATTTTGAGTTGGCGTTTTGCAGGGAAAACACCAGCTAGGGTGGCAAGCGCGCTGAGCGTTGGATTTTTTGAAGGGGACAGCAAAAGGAGGCGATAGAGCCGATAAAAACTCGGAGTTTTCCCTTCGTCTTGTTAGATCCGTCTGTGCAGACTGCCTGGACACCCGGTGTCACTTCTGACTCGGTTCTTTTGAAGAATCCATTGGTCTCAGCCCATTTTGAGTCCAACCTCCGGTGGCTTATCAACTTTGAGGATCCCCGAAAACACAAAAATAAGAGCAGGAACAGGGGCGCCACAAAGGCAGGCCAACATGAAATAACCGTGAGATTGGGCCCTTATGTTGGATACCCCTCCTACATAGTCCGTCGAACCGCAACGGAAGAACCACCGGGACGAGCAAGCATAGACCATACATACACGCGTCGGGAGTTTGGCATCGCCTCTTCCTGCGCGACGACGAGAGGCGGCAGAGCTTTGAGAGGCGGAGGCGCAAGACTTGTACCTCGTCCTTCAAGCCCTTGCAGGACCTGCTTTGAAGGCAATCAGGTAGGAGCATTCCTCGTTGTGGACATCTTGTTTTGTTGTTGGAGGAGAAGAGGTAATTAAGTGGGAAACCCTTGGTCTGATTTTCGGAGCAATATGGATTCCCAGGAGGTGGTGAAGGAGGATGGCAAACAGAAGGGTGTGGACACGGAACTAGATTCGGCTGTGACGGCCCTTCGCAGCTCTGTGTTGGGTGTCATGGACGATGCGCTGCTCAAAGTGGGGGAGCTGTTTCAATCCGATTCGCGACCGGCGCCGGCCCCGGCGCCGGCACCTGTGGCGGCTGATCGATCGGGAGAGCCGTCGACCGGACCGAGTGGACCCAACTCCGAGGCGGGGGCCACAAGGTTTCAACTTGGGAAGGCCAAGCTGGGCGGACCTATTTTGAGGGTGTATTTCTTAATGATCCCCTTAAGAATGGTGGTGTCCCTTTTGGTTTTCCTAATACCCACAAAGAAAGACATCAAACTTGCGGGGAGGTGTCTGTCCTCAGGACTCGTACGTCGCGGCGTTGAGTGACTTGTGGAAGGCCAGTGGGCCCCGCAGCGCGGCGGTCGCCTTCACAGAGTTCGGGGCCTTGCTGCAGCAACAGGCGAGGCATGGCGAGGCAGCGAAGCAAAGGAAATCCATTTGCCATACGGCTGGGTCTTGTTGAGGGACCCCCGGTCTTTGGTGTCTTTAGGTGGAAGCTAAACGGGCAACCACCATTTTGAAGGGCTCCCAAAAAATACACTCCCAAATTGTCTCCATTCGCCGCCCCTTTCATTGTCAAACAAATCGCTTTTTGATTTGCAACATGTAGCAGGACGGATCCGCTTGGTTCAAAGTCTTGCAGGTCGAGCACTGGGCGGGCATGTTCGGCCGGGACCTTGCGCCAGGTGACCAGCGCGGCTGAGGTGGCCTCTTCAGCGCTGCCATCCACTCGCTGAGAGGTCCGATTTCGGATAGCAACGGATCTCCACCTTTTGTCTCTGCCATTCCCAGCTCACCCACCAAAGGACCAATAGAACACAAGGCCTGTTCGACGCGCACCCCCCTGGTTTGAGGTTAAAAGGAAGCCATGAAGCAAATCAGCTTACATACATGAAACTAGTGATTTGGAGAATTGGTTGTCGGTTTGCGGAGTTTTTGTTCCCTGGCTCTTGTTAAAGCCTTGTGGGCAAACAATTAGGACAGTGAGAGGTGGTGGAAGCTGCAACATTTGTCGTATTTGGGCTTTATTCCATGACACTATGACAGGGACGATGCATATTAAAGTTGGTGGGTATCCGTTGCCCTCCGTTGCTAGAAAGTCCATTGCCCATAGAGTTTGGAGCGAGGTACCTCCATCCTGTGGTGCCTGTACATAGACTTATCCGCCGTGTTTGCAGGCGTGAGACAGTGCGACAAGTGCGCGTGTGCCTCTCTATGCAGGATCTGGTGGATTGCATCAAATTGTTGAATCCGAAGTCATTGAGTTGCTCAAAGAGCAGCAGACTCAAATGCCTGGCGTGCGATCAGACTGAGAAGGGAGCTCGCCATGAAATGGAAGCGACGCTTGGGGTGGCTGGCAATTGCTTTGGTCGCTTCGCAGGGCTTTGCTTGCCCACGATCAAGACATCGAGGCCGAGTCACATTGGCCGCAGCTCGCACAGAGCTGGTGCAGGAAACCCGCTTGTTGCGGGAGACGCTGGGGCAGTTGGCTGCGGAAGTCCGGCTCCTGCGGCAGGAGCTCTCGCCCGAGCCTGACACTGAGGAAAGCCCAAAGACTGTCGACCCTCCAACACCTGCAGAACGCCAGCCTGTTGACCCTCCAACCGTGCTGAGCTCAGTGGAATGGACTCCGGCATCGCTATGCCTTGCGTGGTGTTTGATTTTCCACGGGAGTCTGACGGTCCAGTCAGGTGAAAGCTTTGAGCATTGCACTGAGGTCGCCCCGGGCCCGGCCAGGAAGCCGCCAGTGGGCACGACCTTGGTGAAGGTGGTCAGTGCAGGCGGTGATGCCGGGGATTTGGCGGACTTCTTTCTGGAGGAGCCCAGGAAGTCACAAATTCTAGACTTAAAGTCAAAAACGCTGCTGCTTTTTTATTCCAGCAGTCTGCACATTTGAGTGGAAATCTTGCTCGACTTCAAACGCCGGGATCTCACCCTCAACAGCCAACCAAAAGGTGCTTTTTGGACTCGTGGAGAACAGAGGCTTCCAACCAAAGACCCCCGAATGGGTATGTGTCAAAATAGGCGGACCTTAAAAGGGCATCCGGTTCTTTTTGGTTTCTCTTCACAATGAGAAGAAGGTTTCTCAATCCGTGGAACCCATGCCAGAATTGTACATTGTACATCCCCTCCCAAACCAATGCCACATGTTTAGCGAGGCGTCCTTTTTTCCCGTATTTGGGTGTGTCTTCTATTCAAAATGAGGGCCACCAAAGAACAGGACGCCGGGCATCTTTTTGGAACCCCAACGTCCGCGCAGGACGTGGAGGTGCCCATCAACGGCATGGCCAACCGGCGGGGCTTGAACGTGGTGGTCATCGACACCTCCGCGGGCCACATCTTGTCGGCCAAGACCTACGACATTTGGGGCAACCCCCAGGTTGGGACAAATGTGATGCAAATATTTTGAGAAGGGAAGGCTGGGGACATGGGATAGAGGCTTGACAAACTGCCATGAAACAACTGTTCAAGGTCACACCCCCATACGTGATGGGTGCCTGTAATTTGAGGCGGAGGTGAAGGAACTTCAGGCTAAGGGGAAAGGTTTGGGACATGGGATTATAGCTTTCAAGAGTTGGGACCACGTAATAGTTGATGGACATAAATCTAAGCATCTAAATGCACCAAATGGTCCTCTATTAAATTTCATGCCCAATGCGTGTGTAGTTCTGAGGGAGTTGGTAGTTTTTGTTATGGTGGAAACCGAAGCCAATTTAGGGTGCCCTTTTTGACATCCAAATGAAGGAGGGGATTTCTCGAGAAAGGGATGTACAATTGGATTGTTTTGACCCAAGGTTGGTAGTTGTTAGAGTTCCCTGTTGAGACGCTTCAGAAGTGCGTTTTAGGGTGCCTTTCTGTGACAAGAACCATGCAGGAGGAGAACCGCAGGTTTGCCAAGGACATGCGGATTGTGGATGAGGTTCCTTGGTTTTAACTTGGTTTTTGTGTGTGTGTAAGATGTTATATTTGGTCATGGGGGCTTATTTGGAACCAGCAGTCCTGGTTGCCTGCTGATGCCTGTGTGATTGGCGTTTTGTTTTTCCAAATTTGCTTCGAACCAGTTCCTGGTAAAGGACGACATCATCCTGGTGGCTCTCAAGGATTCTGGGCTGGAGAACTTGGACGGGGAAGCCTTGCATGCGTTGCAGAGCATCGGCTCATCCTTGGAGAGCAGGTTAGGCTTTCGCCAGGGCTACGCCCTCATAGGCGCGGAATCCATGGCATTCGCACATCGGGCTTGGAACGTTGTTCGACTCGTGTCAGAACCAGGCATCCAAGCGGTTTTGATTCATTATCCTTTCTTAATATTTTGGCATTCCGTTCAAGCTTGAATCCAGAGCCGCCTTGGCAGGTGTGAAAGATGGCGAGGCTTTAGCGGAGCGAAAGGGTCGCATGGTGATGGCAGAGGCGCTCATGGCTGATCGCGGTTGAACCGTCGGTTGGGCTTGAGCTCGCGTACTCGCTCACGTTTGCCGTTTGCCGTTTAGCTTTTGGGTGGGTTACCGCAGCTTCACCTCGGTGCAGACTAGTTGGGATCGTGAGGCAAAGCTGAACTTCGTGGTTCGACCTCCTCAGTCACCAGTGAGGGCTGCCAGATAGCGCGACGCAAGCTGCAAATCGGCCTGTGCAAAGCGGTCACAGCAAAAGTTTGCAATGGAGGAAGATCCCCCATGCCTTTGTTCCCACATCGATTCTAAACCAGTCGTTCCACAGTCACAGAAGGAAATCGCATGAGGTTCGTAACGCGAATTGACAGGCAAGCCTCCGGGGTGTTCAAAAGTAGGGACCTCTCCAGATTGCAACGGTTTCCTTCGGGCCGGTCCCTACTTTGACATTCCGAAGAGAGGGCCCGTTATGGTGGTGCAACGAGCTGCCAGGATGCCAGATGTTCCCATCGCCCGCGTGAAAATGAAGCTGCAAAGCCCGTTGTTTCTCACGGGAGTGGGTCCGCCTCCAAAGGGGCGGCTTCCGTCTCCCCTCATAGCTCCCCCAAATTGCAAGCGCTGTCCGCGATCCAGGCTCCAGGCTTGAAGGGACCGGAGTGAACACTGGTGCTTGTCCGGCACGCAATGGCCAAGTCTTCAAGTGCATCCGAGTTTGACAACGGTTTGTTTGTTTGAGTTGGATTGCAACCCATTGAAGGGGCTTGGCAGCCCGGCAAGTGCCATGACCTCATGGCCGGAACCTTGAAGGCGGCCGGCAGCGGCACCCTGGAGGATGGGTCTCGGCGCAAGGACGCGGAGCAGGCCCTGCAGCGGCTGAAGTGCGAGGTGCCCCGTGAGGAGTGCCTCGGCGCCTGCCAGCTCTTGGAGTCCACGAGCCTGCGGAGCCGCACGTGTCAGCAGCGCCTGCTGGAGCTCTCGGCGCCCGAGGTACTCGTAGCCACCATGAAGACGCATCTGGCGGATGCGGAGCTGCAGATTGTGCTGTGCCGCATCCTGCAGCACCTGGCGTCTCTCTCCAACGCCAGCGCCCGAAACCTGGAAGCCGCCGGCGCCTGCAGGGCCTTCAAGGCCGCCATTGAAGCCCACCCCTCGCAGGCCGCAGTGCACCAGGCGGCATGCCAGGCGCTGGAGCTGGTGGCTTTGGGGGCCCAAGAAGACCAAAACGTGTCGAGCGGTTTGGGCGGTTTGGGCAGTTTCGAGACTTTGGCTTCCGCTGCCGTCCAAGACGGCTTGGTGGAGACCCTCATCGGCTCGCTGAAGCGGTTCCGCGCCGACGGCCATGTGCAACAGGCGTGCCTGGCCGCGCTGCAGGCCCTGCAGTCCGGGCAGTCCGGGCAGTCTGGGCAGTCCTCCGGGTCCGTGAGCGAAGCCGTGGCCAAGGCCGGGGGCATCGCTGCCATCATCGGTGCCCTGGCGGACCACAGAGACAACGCCCAGCTTCAGTACTGGGGCCAGGTGGTCCTGGCGGCCTTGTGCCATGACAACTTGGAGCTGCGGGCGGATGCGCAGCGCAAGTGCCACTGGCAGAAGATTGAGCAACTCGCCTTGGCATTTGGAGGTTGAATTTTGGGGTACTTGTACTTGGGAGGCCCAGACCTTGGTTGCTTGCAGCTCGGGACTTGGGGCTCTTTCCTGTTGCATGGCATTGTTGCTTTGCACTTTGCTAAGGATCGACTTTGACGCTTAGCCCCAGGAATTCACAGCATGACTTTGGCGGTTCCCGTCACCTGTTTCACATGACCCGTCTACAGGGCTTTACCGCAACAAAAGCAACGCAAGCACATGTTGATTGAGAGCAGGCGATGCACGGACAGCGGCATGATTCGAGTCCCCGAGAATTTAGTGCCCCGGTTGAGCTGGAAGGTGCAAGATCCGGCCAGACCGGAATAGGCTTCCTTGAGCCCAAAGACGGTCCAAAGCATTTCAGCTGAAGCCAGATTCATTGGCTTCCCCATGAGTCCCATGGGAAAGGGTCACATGTCCACATCCTTGCGTGCCCCACCCCGTTCCCACTGCAAACTGGCGCCATGGCCTCCCTCGAAGATGAGGGGGACAATGCCATCGGGCAGAAGGCCCACCCCCAATTCGTTCGCCAGTTGATCCGTCGCCGGCCTTGAGAGCTGAATGTTGCTCTTGTTTTTGTTGAGGCTCCGCTTTTTCAGGCCGGTTTGAGGGGAAACGGGAAAGCCACGAACTCTGCATTTTCTTTTTTTGGACGAGCATGTTCGACCACGCAGCAAAAGACTGAAGGTGAAGGATATGTACTATGAGATCATCAACGGCAAAGGCTGGGTCTCGAGCAGGACGTCGGACGACCGAAGGCTTCGGCTCGCCAGGAGGCAAGAGAACCTACGAGGAGGATGCCAACGAGGTTCGACTGGCCGAGGCCATCCGGCGGCTTTCGTGGCGTTAAGGACCGCGAGAAGAAGCACGTGAAGAAGTTGAATAAGCGAAGAGCCAAGGCAGGGCGAGTGAAGAATCAGTTTACAAGCATTTGTTTTGCTGGGCAAACTTGTTCGCATGCTTGCGAAGCTGATTGACCTCTCCTTGTCTCGCCATTCTTATTCTTGGGAGTTTGTGAACACAGGACGGAGTTTCTGCTTTGAACATGGCGGTTGGCACGGGCCTTTCGGAAGCAATTTCCTCATCTATGGCCGCGTTTCTTTTTGTCAAACGGGGCACTCTTTCAGATGGATTCCTCATTTTGATAGCCCGCTCCTTCAGGAGCTGAGAAAGCAGCAGAAGAAGCTGGAGCAAGAAATGGCCAAGGCCAGTTCCGAGTTGGACACCATGGCCAAGGGAATGACTGAGGTCTGACTCCTTGCCCAATCAACTCGACTGTGCTCCGAGGCAGACTCTGATGATGACATACCTTTCTTCATGCAGGACTCAGCTTCCAGGCATTGTGTCAGGGAGATTTAGCATGTCTCCATGTTCCAGGATGCCAGCATCAAAGCGGCCATGAGGGAACGGGCGGAGGAGGCTGCCGATCAGCTTGCGCTAGATTTGCCGGCAGTTGATCGATGCCAGGAAGCGCAAAAGAATGCAAGCTCATCTTCCGATTCTAGCGACAGCTCGTCTGGCAAGAAGAAGCGCGGCTGTTGCAGTGTAGATTGGTGTGCAGATGTTGGGCGTGGTGTGATGTGTGGCGGTGTGTGTGTGTGTGTGTCACGATAGTGCGCGGTGTGGAAGTGTGTGTGTGTGTGTGGGTGTTTGGCGCTGCACCACGCTGCGTCCCCTGGGCAGGAAAAAGAAGGACAAAAAGAAAAAGAAAAAGGCGCGCACCGAGCTTGTTCTTTTGTTGGAAGGTGTGAAGGGTGGGGACTGGAAGCATTTCGAGGACAAGAAAAAGAAGGACAAAAAGAAGAAAAAGAAGGACCGTTGACTAGATGTGCTCCGGCTTTTCCGCAACTTGTGCTTGAGGCCAAAAAAAGTTCGTCATCCAGCTGAGTGAGCGTGCTGCGCGCTGCGCTTCATCCAGGGCACAGTCCAGCAGCTGGGTTGACTGGCTTCGTTTTTGTTGTTGGTGCCAAGAGAGCAAAGACTAGTGGGGCTTTCTGTACATGAAATCAGTAGAGCTCCCAACGAAGACGGCCAATTTACAGAGGCTTTCGGCGCTCACAGGATGGCTTCGGCCGCGACGGCATGGTGGACAAAGAGTTGCCTGGCCTTTCGTGTGCAAAAAGAGGCGCTTTCAACTGTCTTGTCGTGAACAAGACGACTCACACGGACTCAACTTAGCAGAGCCGGTGCGACCCACGCTCGACCCACGCTCGACGACTCACACGGACTCACAAGTGGCTTGGGGACCCTTTCTGCCTGGCTTTGAGAACCCAACAACGGGTAAACGAAACACGCACAGAAAACAAGCTCCGCGCCTTCACTTTGATGACTCACCAGTTCAAAAAAATACCAGCTAAATCCCAGCAAGAAACCTGGTTCATGGGTGGAACTCGGGAGCCTGCCGATGTGCAATTGAAATGCGAGTCGCACGTTTGCCCCTCAAGGCCACCTTTGTTAGTTGTTTCGGTTCGGTTTGGTTCGGTTTCGGTTTCTGGAAACCTATTTGAGTCGGTTCGGTTGTTCAAACGGTTTCGGTTAGCGCTGTTGGAACATGTGCAGATTGGCCCTGAAAGCATGTGGAATCAGGTGGAACCCGCCGCCAATATGGGCTCAGGGCCCTTGAACTGCTAGGAAAGCAATCACTGCGCATCTCAGCGCGTTCATCAGTGCAGCGAAGCTGCGGGGCTCACGCTAGTCGTGGACTTTTCGACGTTGGCAACGCCGATGCTGGCGGGGTCTTTCATCTACTTCTTGGGCTTTGCCTTCACTCTCTCCAACCAACTTGCATGTATCAACCGCCATGTCTCAAAACTGTTGCCTTGCATGTTTTTTTGGATATTGTAGATGCTGGTCTATCGCATGTGGTCACCAAGATGTAGTGTGTTGATGCTCAGTTGTATCCATTGCTACTGCCGCTTGCTGTGAAGGCTCTGCATTCTCCAGTTGGTCGTTTGTAACTTGTCCTGTTGATTGCCCTGACTGTCTCAGCAGTCTGTTTTACGCGGCGTCTTGCAGGCTAAGATATGCTGTCATCTTTTACTTCCATTCTCCGAAGGTGGTGTATTCTCCTGTGAACTGTGGTGGTGATATCTTATACTTGTGGATTCCTTCCAGCTGCTGCTGTTGCTCTTCTTGTTGTTGTTGTTGTTGGTGGTGGTGGTGGTGGTGGTGGTGGTTGTTGTTCCCTCCGCACGGACGTAACGCCGCAGTTCTTCGTGCGCAAATGTGCAGTAAATACCAGCTTTTGGGGTCTGCTCGCTATACTTCACTGGGGCCCGCAGCATGTCGCGCATCCCGGCGTAGCCAATGTTGAGGTGGGAGAAAAAGCTGTCATTTGCAGTGGAATCACACTCGCCTCGCTGAATCCACTGTTGCTTACAGGGCAGTTGCCGTTAACTGCATCCGCGCGTGCCAAGTGGGCCAAATGGTAAGCACACCCGCTCAACTGCGCCTGCTCAGAACTGTATCCACGCATGCCAAAAGCTAAGCGCACCCGCTCAAGTGCACCCGCTCAGAACTGTATCCACGCATGGGACATGGTAAGCACACCCGCTCAAGTGCACCCGCTGCCAAAAATGCTAAGCACACCGGTTCAAGCGCACCTGCTTAGAACTGTATCCACGTGCGCGCGCCAAATGGTAAGCGCGCCCGCTCAAGTGCGCCCGCTTAGAACTGTATCCACGCATGCCAAAAATGCTGAGCACACTGTTCAAGCGCACCTGCTTAGAATGCCAAATGGTAACACACCTGCTCAAGCGCACCCGCTTAGAACTATCCACGCATGCCACATGGTAAGCGCACCCGCTTACGCGCACCCTCTTAGAACTGTATCCAGTCATGCCAAATGGTAAGCGCACTCGCTCAAGCGCACCCGCTCAGAACTGTATCCACGCATGCCAAATGGTAAGCGCATCAAGATGTATCTTGCGCAGACCAGGATTTGATCACGATGCCTTGGGAATTGAGAAATGCGTCCGCTTTGTTGAGGCATATGATGTGAGCACTGTTGTGCAGCAACATTCGTGTGATCGGTCTGTCTCGCATGGGCATGCCTTTCACCGTCCAACTTCGGTTTGTTCGTGAGGTTCCCACGGTTCATTGTGAGTATGTTGATGGTCCATCACTGGCACCTTCGGTGGCTTGCGTCAAGGGTCCAAGGATGTCCATATATGCCTTGATCACACCGACATCATCTTGTGTCCTGAGAGATTTGAGTCCAAGTGGCACTCAAATCGGATATCCGGATGCTGGTTGTGCAGCTCTGTGCTCTTCCATGGATGGCCTGTTGCTGCGGTGGCGAAAGTAGAATACTTCCTCATCAACGTGTGCGTTCAGGATCAATGTGTTTCTGGGAAACAGTCTCATACTTGTGAACATTCTGAGGCTCCTGTTCATACCTTTGCATGAAGTCCTTGAAGCTTGCGCCTTGGCGATGTTGAGTCCTTCTTCCGCTTGAGTTTTGCTCATGTCTCTGTCAAGGTAGACCTGCTGGAATTCCTCGTTGAACTCGGCGAGATTGTTAGGAAAGAGGCGCTCCATCGTGAACCTGCGCTTGACGACTCTTTCCCTGGCGGGTTCCATTCTTAATTCATCATCACTGTCCCTGTCAGTGGAATGCCGTCTTTTCTTGGTCTTGGTGGATGTGTTCTTCTGGGATTGGTCCTTGTCTGATTTGTTAGCATTGACATGTTTGAAGAAATCCTGCGCGAACTCTCGGATCTTAGTCACCTTCTTTGTCCAGGCTCTTCTTCGTAATTGGTCTGCGTTTCCTGTCCTTCGGAATCGTACGCCGCAATGATTTTTTGTGGCCCGATAGTATCTTCGGACAACGCAGCGCGTTCCTCGGTCAGCCTGTTGCCTTGGTGGTTGTTCTTGAGGAAGCCAAGGATCAATAGGGCATCTCGTCCTCCAGGCACATGCGTCAATGCTGCCTCGGATGGCTCATCGTCGAGGATCACATCGTCAATGCTTGCAAGATGGACATGGGTTCTCCCTTGTAGGTCGAGCTTTTCCCCGGCTTGGTCGTTGTAGGTCGCATGGAACATGAAGGTGATTGGCTTCTTGTCGAATGGCTTGATCTTTCTCTCCTGTTCCACAGATTCAGGCGCCGGTCGTCTCATCCCACACTTTGGCTGCGTTGTGCCGTGATCCGCATGCTGCTTGTTGGATCTTGAAGGATGGGTCCGTTCGTGGAGTGTTGGCGATGGGAGATCGTAGTCCGGTTCTTGTTGTTGAATGGATTCAATTTCAACGGGTCGTGAATGACCACTGCAGCATCTCACATACAGTTCCATCTCCTTGTCAGCTGTTCCATCAGGTCGGAGAGCGTGCTGCCTGCGATGTGAGGTTGATCCACCTGTTGTTGGGTACAATGGCGCCATTCCTTTCTCGTTCCTGATATGTTCCGTCATGGTCTGGTAACACAAACGCGATTTCAAATCGGGATTTCCCATATTTCGGAAACATAGTCATCAAGACAATGAGGGGCTTGTTGCCCAGGAAATTCCTTGCATGGCTGATGCTGCGCAGTGCCTCGAAGAGCTCGAAGTTTTGAGCTCCTTGGTGCTTCTCTCCTTTGGATCATGCCGCAGGCAGGGAGAACAATCGGCTCAATCTCTTCACTCTCTGCAGATGGATTCTGCATTCATGATGGTCCTTCTCATGTCGATCTGCTTGTTGTGGCATACCATCGGAATGATGTCGGTTCCATAATCATCCGGATCGGCGTTGGTATGGCAACAAATGGTGTACATCTTCTTGATGTAGTCGATGTATGCGCGCTAAGTTGAGTTGAGCCGGAGGCCGTTCTAAGCTCGCCCCTGAACGGACGTATCAAACGATTGTTGGCAAAACAAAGAGGCTCCAGCAGCCGCTGGGATCGCACCCGCAAGATCACGCGTTGAAAGTTTTGTGTCCCCCTCGAAATTGCCGTTGTTTGCTTGTTCCCCTGTTGAATTGATTAAAGTTTTTCGATCTCACCAACGGCCCCCTCGGATTCCTTGCAACCATCGTCTGATCGCTTAGGGATGGAACACTGCGGATTTGGCCTTCAGTGGCTCATGGATGCCCGATCAGTTTGCTTGGCAATAGCGTGCATGTGCGTCTGTCTCTGTGTCTGTGTTTGTGTCCGTGCTGCGTTTGTGTTTGTCTCTGTACTGTCCGTTTGTGCGTGTCTCTGTGTGTGCTGTCAAGCACAACCTGGGGCTGTGTGTGATTGTCTGTGTGGTTGCGCGCAGTTGCGTGTTATTGCACGTTACTTTGTGTAATTGTGTGCGGTGTCTGGCATTTTGCGTGTGTGCGTGCATGCCGGCGTGCGTGCGGCGTGCCTGCGTGCGTGTGTGTTGTATTGTGTTGTGTTTTGTTTTGTTGTGTTGTGTTGTGTTGTGGTGTGTTGCGGTGTGTTGCGGTGTGTTGTGGTGTGTTGTGGTGTGGTGTGTTGTGTTGTGGTGTGTTGTGGTGTGTTGCGGTGTGTTGCGGTGTGTTGTGGTGTGGTGTGTTGTGTTGTGGTGTGTGTGGTGTGTTGTGGTGTGTTGTGGTGTGTTGTGGTGTGTTGTGGTGTGTTGTGGTGTGTTGTGGTGTGTTGTGGTTGTGTGTGGGGGGTGGGGGTGGGGGTGGGGGTGGTTGTGCGTGTGGTTGTGCGTGTGAGTGTGTGTGCGCGTGTGTGTGTGTGTGTGTGTGAGATCCTGTGTCAGTGTGCGTGTGTGTGTGTGTGTGATGTCGTGTGTATGTTTGCGTGCCTTTGGGTGCTTTTATGTGTCTCTGTGCGTCTCTGTGTGTGCGAACGTGCCTGTTGATCAACAATGCTACGAGCAAACATTATGTCCACGCCGCTTCCAACCACTTTCAGGAGTACAACTTGCTTCATTGGGTTGGGCAGTTGGTTGGCGTGCTCTCATATTTTGCAGTTTGGGCTTCAAGGGCTGGGCGGGGCGTAACCAGCTTTCGGGACCTGGCCATAAAGATCAATTGCAAACAACACTCAAAGGAACATATGATGTAGGAGCTTCATGCTGGAAGCCAGGTGCTCATTGGATTTTTATGCTTGGCAAGGTCAATCTGGGAGACAGGCATGCAAACCCCGAACCATGCAACCCATAGAACATGTTTGCACATGAAGTGGCCGTGGCCGTGGCAAGGTAGGACACCATGGCAATTGATGGCAATGGCCAAGCTGCAGTCATAGGCTCGGATGGCTGGTGGCTGTGCTCAGTAGATTTTGTGTGGAATGAGAATGATTCCTTCGACATAGATGCCCTTGGGGCTTTGGGTTTTCCGCGCGATTGGCCGAAGACATATTCCACGAGTGCAGCCCTGAAGTCTCTGATTGGGAAGCGCGGCCGGGCTGCTGCTAAAAGAGTTGCAGTGGCAGGGCTGCCTACCCCGCAGCAATTGGCAGAGCTGCCCAAATTGACCATGGTGCCAATGCACAGCTTCCAGAACGCCGAGCGAGCTGCACAGCTTGCCGGGCTCGGTGTGGTTCGGGGCTGGGCGGTCTTTGAGCGCTTGGACCGGGCCGTTGGAGAAGCATTCGTTGCAGAGAGGTACTGGTGGAACACCATGCCCGATGGTACGTGGATCGATTTGAGCCCTCGGCCTTCTTCGTGGCCTCAGGTCCTTTTGGTGGAGCCGGTGGAAAACAGCCCAAAGCCTAAAGAGGCTCTGACTCGGGAGACGCTGCACCTGATGTCCCAGCTCCTGCGCCAGAGGTTTCCAGACTATGCGCTGCCAAAATCTCCCCCGGCGGTGCCACAAGAGAAACCGAAAGAGACCGTGAAGAAGCAGTCGGGCTATGTGGCGGGCAATGACCGCAAAAGTGGCCAAAAGGCGAGCCTGGACTATTCCAAGTTTGACAAGATTGAGGACTCCGATGATGAAAAGATTGTGCCCAAGCCAGCTTTGACACTGCCCATGGGATTGCCAAGGGAGGCTGTCTCGAGGCAAGAGTACGACAATGTTTGGCGAGCACTCATGCAGGACAAGCAGCTTCCGTACACACCTGCCCCTGATCTAGATCAGATGTGGGGTTATTACAAGTATGGTGGCATGGACGAACAGGCTCTCCTGGACCAGGCGTGTGAAGTGCTGGGCAAGTTTCCTTGCAGACTCGACCCAAAAGATTGGAAAGGCAAGACCTACAGTCTCACCAAGAAGTTGGAGTTGGAGAGCCGTGAGGATGAAGCGCGGATGTGGTCCATCATCTGCATTTTGCGCTTCCCGGACGCTGATGCTTTCTACAATCAGGGGGTGCTTCTGAACAAGATGTGCGACAAGGCCAAGTTTGGTGGTGCCACGGTTGTTAAGCTCCCGGCTTTGGAACAGTCAAAAATGGTGCCGGTGGAGCAGTATTGCTCGCTCTTCTCGCGAGCAGCTATCAGTTACTACCGCCGATCCCTGAAAGTTGATCCGAAGCAGAGGCCCGCATACATCAATCTCATAGGCAGCCTGGAGAGGAATGAGCCTGCCAATTGGTATGATGAAGTGCATGAGCTGGCAATAGCTGCTGTGAGGAATGGCATTTGGTACACCAAGTGGCAGCGAAGTCCGCACTTTGTGCCGACGCTGACTGCGAAGCCCTTCCATGATGGCCAGGAATTCGCTTTAGCGCGAGCCTTGGAGGAGAACTACCCGGTGATCAAAGCAGAGTACGTGGCATACCGGGAGAAGCTTGCCAACCGCAAGGATTGGGATGACTCAGACACAACCCCAGGGCTGGGCGACGTGGGCAACCGAGCCGGTGCCTTGCATGACGGAGGCCTGAGAAAGTCCGGGAAGTGGCAGGAAGTGCCACTATTCACCAACTGCACTATCCAGCGCGAATACACAGACCTGTTTCCTGAGACCACCCGCATCTTACAAACCCAGTGCGCGGATGCAACTGGCCTCGCCTTTTGTGGCGGAGGCGATGTGATTTTCAGCGTCCTGACGCCTGGCACGCGGCTGCGGCCCCACTGCGGGCCCAGCAATGCCCGGCTCACCTGCCACCTGGGCATCACCGTCCCGCGCAAGCGCGACGGTTGCTTCATCCGTGTGGCGGCGGAAGAGCCTCGGGGCTGGGAGGAAGGCAGATCTCGCCAACCAATGCGAAGCACGTTCATCTTTAAACCTTTGCTTTGGCACCTCATTTAGGTTTTGTCAAGTGGAATTCAGCTATTTTATCCAGTGTTGCCCAAAGGTCGGTGCCTGGTCTTTGACGACTCCTTTGAGCACGAGGTAGTCTTCCAGGAGCCTAAGACCAATGAGACATACCCAGGCGAGCGAGTGGTTTTGCTGGCGAACTTCTGGCATCCGGACTTCAGCCCCTTGCCGTTTTTGTAAGTTTGCAATCCCCGCCCCTCAAACTCCGCCCCCGTCTTGGACTTGGCAAATGTTGCGGGATACGATCTCTGAGTTAGGAACTTCAATACTCTAATCCAACCTCTTTTTTGAATCAAGCGATTGAAACAGGTGTTCTTTTGCCGGGGACAGACAAGTGCAGAGATCCAACACCTGTTTGTAACATGATTTTGTTGCAAAGGCAATGCGCCTTTGAATGGCTGTGCAGCCAAGGCTTCAAAAATGACCCAGATTGGAGGCAGAGATCGGACGAGATGATGGCTTCGGTAGATGTGGAGTCCCTTCCGCAAACAGCAATGATGAAGACCTGATCTCTTCTTGGATTTAAGCTCTTTGCCCTTCAGCTATGAGCACTGTCTATGCGGGCTCACAGTTTCGGGGCTAAAGTTGCCATCTGCAGTCGAGACAGCAGGGTGAACACAAAGATGGCTGCCGCACTGGTTTTGGCGTCGCTCCCCTTTCAAAGACACGTGGTTTAAACATCCAGCTTTCAAAGCCGTTTCGCAACTTGGCATGCGGTCTTTGTTTTCTTGCACGGGCCTTGATGGCACACGCTACGGGCTCGTTCTGGCAAGGTGCACATGCAAAGACGGGTGCAGTGCAAGCAGTTGAACGACAATCCCAACACAGCACGACATGTCTTGGCACGGCTCAAGCGTGCGGGGCGGGCCCATGTTCAGGAATCAGGGGCAATCAGTTGGGAGAATCTAGCGGCAGTAGAATTCAGGTGACAGTCACATGGCAGCCTAAAGCTGTGGGGTGCGTCATGGCAATGGCCACGTAGATGCAGGAGGGCCTGCTGCTGTGCAGTCTAGTGTCAGCAGCATTGGCCCAGGCTGATGTGCTTGCATGCTCAGAGCAGCTGGAAGGCCAAAATTGTTCTTACTCAATGCCTCGAGGTGCAGCGAGGTTTGGCATTTGCCAACCAATCGGCCCCGCCAACCACAGCATGTTGGCGTGCCTGAGCTCCGAGACGTCCTCCCACCCGGACCCCGCCTGTCAGTCAGGTTTGTTTCACACTTCGAGCAGGGCTTGTTGTGCATCTTACTGCCCATCCTGCCGTGAAGCGGCAGAGGGCGGAGACGCGGCCTGCTCGGTGCAGCATATCCTGCGACTCGCACCGCTCTGCTCAGAAGCGAGTCCGCCTTGCGTTGTGGCCCAGTACTTTGCCCTTGCCCCAACCTTGGAAGAAGTCGGGACCACAGAGCGCACAGAGACGACTACAGTTCCGGCCACAACATCCGAAGGTTTTAGCCCTGTGGTCGAGCTGGTTCTTCCGCTTGCTGGGGGGTTCCTTGTTTGTGGCAGTGGCCTGACGCTTTGCTGCTATTGCTTGCACGAAGTCTCAAGACCCCGCCCAAAGGAGCCTACCTCACCTGCCAGCAAGGCGTGCGTGGTGGGGAAGCGCAAGCCCCGCCCGAAGGGACCCAAGCGAAAGAGGCTTGCTCAAGCGGAGGAGCTACCAGCACTGATTGAACTGGAGCCTCTGGAAGATTTGGGACGCCAAGATGAGCCGATTCCTTTGATCGACATATGGGCTCCGGATCCAGTTCCAGAGCCGCCAGCTTCGGTCTCGCCCTCTGAGCCGGTCCCGGAGAAGATTCCCACTTCGCCACCGGATCCAGAGAAGTGGGCGGCGAAGTGGAGTGAAATGGAAGCTGATCTTGAAATAGCGTTAGCCAATGCGCACGCTCCCAAAATTGAAAGAAAATTATCGCGGAACGGCGACAAACATCCAACTAAATATTGGAGCAAAATTGTGAGTTTAAACCATGTGTTGAATAATCGTTCACATTGAATACGAACGTGGCTAGAAGGGAATTGAAAGGGAAATGAACGGGAAAGAGAATTGAAAGGGACATGGACGGGAATGGATGGGAATGGATGGACGGGGAATAAAAGGGACATAGAAAGCGGAATAAATACAAGGGTAGCAAGAAATGGATGGAAATAATAGAGATGAAGGTGGGGAGAAAAAAAAGGAATAGGGAAATAAAAGGAATAATTAAAATATAAAATGTGTGTTTTTGTTTTAGGAAAAGGGAGTCTCGGACCAAGCGCCTCTCAGCTGGTGAGACTAGGGCGGCCGAACGCTTGGAGATTGTGCAATGGAGGCGCCCATCTGGATGGATCCACCGACGCATGGTGGCTGCTGGACTGGAGTCCTGAGACCGGTCCCACCGGAGAAGGACGCTCCTCTCATGGGCCGGCACTTCATGGAGATCTTGCCCTTCGGTGGCCTGCTCCTGATCCCGGCCCACCTCGACCACACTCGCCTCCTCACGATCTACAACACCACGCTCCTCATCAATGATGGCATTCTGATCGCCAACTCCACAGAGGACACCAGATGGTTCTACCACGAGCCGGTGCACATCATGCACTACCGGAGGCTGAAAGAAGTCTGCGCAGGCATGGGGGGCATCGCCATTGGGGCCCGCCAAGCAGGAATCTGTGCAGTCGCACATGGATCACAACGCCTTAGCATGTGCTCAGCTCAAGGCCAACGGCGCGGACAACGTGATCATGGGCAGTGTCCACGAGAACGCTCACGTGGCCATGCTTCATGCTGCAGGAATTTCCCAACCAGCAGTACTTGCTGCAGGATTCCCCTGCCAACCCTATTCACGGCAGGGAGACAGACTTGGACAGCGCGACCCTCGCTCAGCAACCTTTGGAGCCACTCTCAAGACGGCATGGCTCTTTCAAGCACCTGCCATCATCCTGGAGTGTGTAGCCACAGTCCAACACTACAGCTTCATCATGCAGAACCTCACCTACCTGGCCAACCTCATGCACTACCAGCTCAAGACAGTGGTATTGGCACTCCATCACCAGTGGCCAGCACACAGGGAAAGATGGTGGGCGATCCTCGCCCCAGCAACCTTCAATCTGGAATCCTTCCAGACATGGCCATACACTGCACCTCTCCTCACGGTGGAGAACATCATCCCGAGATGGCCGCTATGGACCAAGGAAGAGGAGAAGGCACTGCTGCTCTCGGAGCGTGAGATTGCCCTGTACACCAACCCAGACTATGGCGATGAACTCCGCCTACTACAAGTCTCCGCTCCATGTCCCACACTGCTTCACTCGTATGGGAACGCTCTCACGAAATGCCCGTGTGGATGCAGGAGCCAATCCTTTTGCACGGAACGTCTGCTACAACAGGACTTCGTGGCTTCTACGTACGATCCCTGATCTACGGAGCTCCAAGGTTCCTTCACACCAAGGAGGCGGCACTGTTGCTCACAGTACCCCAATGCATTCAATACGTTGGACAACCACGGGACGGGCTATGCCTACTTGGCCAAGTAGCTGCTCCACTACAAGCGCTTTGGGTTGCCTCGCACCTCGTGAAGGCAGTACAAGAGGCATACAACTGGGGGCCACCATGCAATCCTGAACAGCTCCTCCAGGGGTACAAAGACTCCCTTCTCTTCGAGCAGCATCACCTTTGGATCACAGAGGACTCACACGCCACCCGGCACATCCATATCCTGGACGAGCACCAACTCTACATCAACGTCCTTCGTGAAGGACACCAGCAAGTACACGATCTGCTTGCAGCTGAAGGACAACTTCACGGAGATGAATCCATCACGCTTTGGGACGGTCACATCAAGCTCCCGTTGCATGCCACGCTGCAAACCCAAGGAAAGTTCGGACCCTATCGCCTTCAACGCGAACCTCACTACTCGGCTCAGGGACTCTGTGGCCCTGGACTCGGGGATGCACACATTGAAGGTGAACTCCAAGGGGAGCTCAATGGCGAGCACATCAACTTCCTACCACCACTCCTTGGCTCTTTTCTGGCTCAACAACCAGACATCCAACCAGCACATCCACTACTCGACAACGTACCAGCACGCACGGGACCTCTCTTCACCATCTTTGCCTATGACGACCACTGGGCGACTCTGGTATGCTATCCACAATTCTTAAGCAGAAGGCTTCCACGCCCTACTGTTGGATCTTCCAGGACGAGGACTTCAAGGTGTGCGGCACCATTGCATTGGCACACCTCGCCACCTGCCTCGACCTGGACATCTACAGCTCCATCCCGGATGCGCACTTCCACATCCTCTACCGCTACGGGGGACCTGCTGGTCACACCACACCTACCGGTCCAGCTGGCACCAATGACACCACAATCACTCAGCTTATGCCTCTGTTGATCAGCAAGGGCATCCCAGCTGACCGGGCACAAGATCGAGCTCATCAAGCTCTACGCAAGCTCAACATCAAAGACGTCCAAGCTGCTCTCTCCAGCAAGAATCCATGGGCTGCTTTGAAAAACATTGCCTCACAACCTGGCATCAACTTCATGTGGCTTCAGCACGACGAACTCATGCAGAAGGTCAAAGCCAGGGGAGAGCAGCGCTACAACCTCGAACCCTCGAACAAAAAGGGCAGGACCACCACCGCACCAAAGCCGCCGTTGCAAGTCTGCCCAACCGACCTTGTCCTCATCCCTGGCTCCTTTCTTGCCGAAGATGGGACGCACATTCCCCACATTCCTTTCAATCGTGTGGCAAGAACGCTGGCTTGGCCTTTGCCACTGTGGCCGAGGTCTTACCCTACCTCACTGATGACCAGCCCATCTATGACGGACCCTTGGCCGTCCTCACGACCACATGTGTTCCCCACGAGCAAGTCGGCCTTCTACCGGTTGAGAACATGGTCTACCCCGCTACCCACTCCCAGACCCAGGAGCCGGTCTTGATCCAGGGCAGTCTCATACAACTCGGGCAGGTTCGAGTCAACAGAGAGAAGCACAAGAACCTCCCGAGCATTGTGACCACGGCAAGTCTTCCGCGACCAGTGGCCCCGGGACTGGGCAGAATTCCCATGAAAGCCGTCCTTCAACAACAACCAGCACTGACTCTCTGGAAGAGTCCTGCCTGTGGGGACGCATGTCCGAAATACCACTTGCCGGTGGATGAGGACCCCATCAGCGCCATCATCATGGACTTGTGGAACCGACAATGGTCCAACCACAAGGGCAACAAAGTCCCCAGCGATCACGCCACGATCTGGAGTGCCACCATCAGAATCCCATCCTTTGCCGCAGACACCATCATTGGATGCTCTGGCCCCTTTGGAATCTACTTCGACCCCAGGGACAGCTCCGGCAAGTCTCCCTCGGAGGCTTACGGCATTGTCTGGCTTAACAACCTCTCGTACCAGGAGGCCATGCACAAGATGAAGACCACCAACAAAGCAGTCGCCGTCACCCGGTTCCAGGACCGATATGGAATCCGTTTTCCCCATGCTGCATTTTCAGACGCTCACCAACGGCTCAAACCGGATGAGCCCTACCTTGATGTCAAGATCGTGGACATCTACCGGCTTTATCCTCTTCCCAGAGGCACCCAACGGGCAGGCCTCATCAAGACCCTCCGCACCTGGCAATGGAAA